AAAATAATGTAAGGCAGTAGCTTGCGCCCATCCCCTGTCACCGCCAGCATTACGGTGCATCGTCGTTTAACAGAATGAGATGTTCTGACGATGATGCTCCATGCACCTTTCTCCTCCACGTGTTCTGCAGCATATCAAAGCAAAAAGGATCTGATCGGCGTTGCCGATCTAGGACAAAATGAAGTCTTTCTGCTGTCGGAGCTTTATAACGAAACGATGGAAGTCCACCACTTTGTCCTCATATGCTGCGGGCAAATGCTGGCACAAGGTGGTCCACCTTCGCAGTGCGAAGCCATGGCGCCGCATGAAACGAGTTGTCCATCTGGAGCTGGCTTTGAACTCTTTTGCTTCGATGCGCTCTGCTCCGGCTATTCTGCGCGCCTCAGTCTGCACAATATCCAATGACACAGCACAGCTGTCTTGTCGTAACTCCCATTTATGCCGGGCCAGTTGCTTTTCAATGTTCGGATACCTGCCGGTCTTGGCACCGCGGAATGCCCGTCGCGCCTTCGTCGCCTTAAGTTTTTCTTCTTGATCCTTCTAGTATTGAATACTGGTTTCTCCAACCCCGAAATGCCTGCTTGCAACCCTGTTGCCGTGCTCCAGCGCATACTGCACTGCCTTCAGTTTAAATCCAGCCGTGTACCTTGTGTACTTCCCCATGATGGAACCAAAGTTGAATACACAACCACAACATACGCACATCGCTTGTACAATGGCGTTTCTTTCTTTTTCTCTGATGGTGGTGATGGCGATCGAGCCCCCGGTTTCGTACAAGTGACCTCCAAGGACCGCGGCGATTTGGGGGGTGTCAGTAATTGACGGAATTGACAGTCAGGTCGTCGCACTTCGAATTTTTTTTATTTGCTCGTCAATTTGCCTTCTTTTTTCCTTCAGGGCACAGGGACCGCGTTCCAACTGTACCGCTGGGGGGTAGAATCATTTCTGATCACGGCCAAGTTCAGAATGTGCCCATTATGCGCAGGATTAAAAAAATTGAATTTTCTGCGACCAAACTAGGGGTGCACCTATTATAGAGTATGCTGATTATGCAAGTAAATACGGTAATACATGCATTGGGGAAAGGCAGACGAGCCCTGTAATCTGCCGCCATATTGCCTTGAGAGAGTTTTGAAATGCAGGTTGGTATACCTACTGTTCACCACCTACATAAACAGAAAACCAGAAAGAGCGGCAGGCCGTACGGACGGTAGTATATGAGAGCTGGGATTCTTTCTGCAACAAGTTGTGTACCAGCTTTTGCCAAACTGTACATACCATATACACGCCTGTACGGGCCGCACCCGTGTAAGAGCCACATCCCGTTTTTAAGAAGCACATATTAAATAAAAAAGTTGCGTGTAAGGGCCGCATCCGCACTTTCCTTGACCCATACGTATTGAAAATGCGCGCGCGTGTGTGAGCTACTAGACGTCAGTAGATGGCGTTAGAGAACGCAATTATCCGCATCACAATATAGTACGTCATTAGAATAACTTGTTGGTTTTCTTCCTGCTAATATGTTCGTGAAGTTGGCTAAAAATTTTAAGTTTTTTCAGTAGTGTTCATACACCCGCCAACTAAAGGTTAAAGCGAGATTTTATCTTTAGCTTCTGACACTTCTATACAAACGCGCTATCTATATCGGCATTAACATCACCAACTTTGGTATTTGTGCGTTGTTCGGTTATTGTGCTGTTTAGCCTGCCATGTGCTCGAGTTTTGCGCAGGGTTGAATGACTCTGGGACTTATCTAGTAGTTTTCTGCGGGACGTTTACGTTTTGGCACGATGGGCAAGCAACTCAATAGCTATACAGCTGGCTATAAGTTGAAGGTCATCAAGTTTGCTCACGAGCACGGGAAACGGGCCACTGGCAGAAAATTCGACGTTGACGAGAAGTGTGTTTGACGTTGGTGTGCTCAGAAGAAAGCCTTGCAGAACACCAACATCAAAAAGCGTGCTTTCCGAGGAAAACAGTGCAAGTATCCTGATTTGAAAGAGGAGTTGCTCCGCTATGTGACTGAGGTGCGGAACGATGGTTTTGCGCTCACTACGGACATGCTGCGCATGAAAGCACTAGCCTTGGCACGTGCAGAAAATATACCGGCCGGGGATCTTAAGGCTAGTGCTGGCTGGGTGCAAAGGTTTCTGAAAAGGGAGGGACTCTCCTTTCGGCGAAGGACCACGCTGTGCCAGCGGCTGCCAGAAGACTATACCGACAAGGTGCTTAGTTTTCACAAGCATGTCATCGGCCTGCACCATCAGCACAATTATCTGTTGTCGCAAATAGCGAACGCTGATCAAACTCCTGTGTGGTTTGACTCTTCCGAGAACTACCCAGTCGAAGTAAAAGGCAAGAAGAGTGTCGCCGTGCGGACCACCGGCCCTGAGCGCCAGCGCTGCACCGTGATGCTTTGTGTGACCGCGGACGGACGGTAGCTACCCCCGTACGTTGTTTTGAAAAGGAAAAGAATTCCCAACGAAGTTTTCCCCAAGGGCATCATAGTTAGAGCCCAAGAAAAGGGTTGGATGAACGATGATTTGGTGCTTGACTGGGTGAAAAGTGTTTGGCAGAACAGACTGGGAGCTTTATTGGCCAAACATTCACTTTTAGTGTTGGATAGTTTCCGCGGCCACCTTACCGATAAGGTGAAGGAGCAGCTGCGCCGTGTCGGCACAGACATGGCCGTGATTCCAGGTGGCCTCACAGGAATGTTGCAACCATCGGATGTGAGTGTGAATTGACCGTTCAAAGTTGAATTCCAAAGACTGTACACGGAATGGATGGCAACCCGCAACCATGAGCAGACACCGACCGGACGGCTGAAGAGGGCACCGCTTGCTACTGTTCTCGGTTGGGTATTGTCGGCGTGGAGCTCGGTGCCGACGGACATTGTGTACCGAAGTTTTAAGGTCACTGGGATATCCAACAGCCTGGATGGCACCGAAGATGACTGTTTGTGGAATGATGGTGCTCCGCAACACATCATCTCGGACTCCGAGTTAGAGGACATGTCAGGTGACGACGATTAAGCGCACACGCGGCATACTGCAATAAACGCTCTTCGTTCGCTAACTGGTACGTTGTTTTTAGTTCACCAAAAAAAAAAAAAGTTCCGTGTATGGGCCGCACCCTAAAAATTGGCCCTCATTTCCTGAAAAAAAAAAAAAAAGTGCGGCCCTTACATGCGTTTATACCATAACTCAACCCTCCTCTTTAACAGGGCCCTGCGGCACTATTTGAGCATGTATTTTTCATCGGTTCTTCTGGTGCTTTGAAACTCATCGATATCGTTGCGCATTCAGCAACAACGAAATCGACGCTGCTATAATTTTAATTCACGGGACAAACTACCTCGATTTCAGACTACAGCGACACACATAAACTATTTTTGTTATGGGAAATGACCTTATGTCATGTGACATGACGGCAAACACCGTTCGCCTTTGATTGGCTTGGTGCGAGAAATAGGGTGCCATATTCATATGGCGGTAGCCAGGCTATACGAGTGAATGCTAAAAACAGCATAAACCTTTTTTATACTTTCTCAGAAAGAAATCATTCCTGTTTCTAAATGATGTATTTTCAGAAAAACAAACACAACAATAAGCCTGCAAATGAGGCTATGGTACACCAGCAACTAAAAGTGCAAATGCATGCTGCGCTTTTTGCGAGCCAAAAAATGGGACAGACAGTGGGCACCAGCGTTGCCATAGAGCCCGTCTTGCATGTAAGCCGAGAAGTGGCCCCGCCCAAAGCGTATGCATGTATCTTACACAGTGTGACCGTGGGAGTGTCTGCTACCCGACGCACGTGGTTCGTAGTAACCATGCTAACGACGCGGTCAAACAGAGCAGTAGCGAGGTATGGTGTAAAGGCCACCATGAGGTGGTGACATTTACGAAATGTCTTTATGAGACGCGCGCTGTGGTTGGAAGCGGTCTTAGACGTCAGCAGGAGAGTGAAATAAAGTTTCTCGTCATTGTCTGCTCAAGTTTTGAACTTTGAGAACTCGTAGCTTCACTTTCTGTGCACCAATTTCCATCATTGTTGTTGCATTCGTCTCAGTAATCATCGTTACACACGTTCTGGTGCTAAATAAGGCTGTCCCAAAATTGTCGCAGGGCCCTTTTAACTGTCATGCTTTGGTATGCTTACAAATAAGATGTTTACATCTGGACATCTCCAGGAGTCGGTGAGATTGCCCTAGCTATTAAACCATACACACATCTACTTGAAAAAATTCAAGATACAAGTTTTATGTTGTTGGTATGACATCATTTTGCGTACTCCATCAAGATTTTATTTTGCTGCCGATGCATATATGGTTCAAACATTAAATGTATACGAGCTGTCAATGTACCTAATGATGTCCCTGGTAAAAGGAAAGTAGAATGAGTACCACTAAATGCTGGCAAGTTAAGGGCAAAGAATTTGTCACATACACGAGTGCAGAACTTGTGCAGGTCAACTTGCTTGTACTTATCTGCTATCATGTCAAACAATCCCAAGTGCTTATGTTCTACAGATGTCATCAAACCACCAATATCATGTTTCCTACTAAAAAAAAGCTGAATGCACTAAAGAATTTCTCTAAACTATATTCTACAGCATTGTTGTCAGTAGTTTTATTTGCTTCCAAAACATGTCAGGACACAAATTTGCCCAAACCAAGCTCCCTTCCGGAGTTCTTTCATAAATAGAATACTACTATAAGTAAGGTCCGAGACTGAAAGGCAAAAATATTTCTTTGAAAACAAAAACTTATTCTTTATTGAAACACGCTGCAGAATTTGTAATGCTGCAGAATGAACATGGATTAGTAAACATCAAGCAAAACTCATGGAGTTGGAAGACATGCGCATTCATGCAAAAACACCAGACGGACACCATGGCAGAAACGCACAGCATTTACTGAAAACATCACATGTAATGACTCACTGACTATTTTTCAATGCCAAGTAGAGTACACGTGCACAGGAGTCTCTCCCACTCACCCCCTTCATAGGCGTCAAAAAATTCGTCTTCAGATTCATCTCCCGGGATGTGGTTGAGGCGTGGATTGCTGAGAGTGCACTCCAACTGGTGGTGCTCCCTCGCGAGGACGCTGAGGCTTTCCTGCAGAACACGTGACCGCTCCCGCTCTTGTGCCAGCTCAGCCGCCCTGGACTGCACAAAAAAACAAGGCACTAAAAGCCTTGCTAATACTTTAGAATGCCGAGCAAGACCTCCCTTCTTTTGCTTTTATTTTGGCGGGGGGGGGGGGGGGGGAAATCTGAAGTAAGTGCCAATGACCAAGCAAGCGCCCCCTCTTCCCTTCCTCCCCTGCGGGCACTATTTTTTAACAATCGGCATCATTTGTGTAAAACGAACTACAAGAATGAGTCCACTGAATGAGTACATAATGTTACTTATAAGATGCTTTATAAATAAAACATTTCATTAGAAACATGGATGGGAATCGTTTATTTTAGGCGGTTTTCCCACTGCCAACTTGAATTTCAGTTCGAGACCAAGCAAGCCCCCCCCCCCCCCCCCCCCCCCGACAGGTGAACTGGCTTGCAGCATTCAGGTATGAAACCAATCATACTAGAGGCCATTGTTCCATTTAAGCAGCAGTTCTGTTTAACAGATTTTCATTTACTGAGAGGACACTGTATACTCTTCACACTCGGGTAAAAGTAGCACTCTTTATTTTCCGATTTTAACGAAAAGCGTGGCCTTTTACAAGGGATAGGGTCTTGGGTATTATTTTCTAGACTAGAGCATGAAACTGACATAATCACTTGGGATTGCACACCACCAGAAAAACGAGCACTACCCTCTTCATGAAGAGTCCATTCGTTTTTCCACAGGCAGCGTGCAATCAACTACTCATCTCCACAACTACTACCACTGCTGCTTAAGCTTAATTCAATAGCAAATTCGTGAATTAAGCCATCTTTTGCATTACCCTTGGTGTTAGAAATTGAAATATGATAAAAGTTAGATGAAAGATTGAAGTTTTAAGTGATGAAGAATTCTTGAAGACGAGGTCCCATTAGAGCCAATCTTTTGAGAAGCATTCTTGGCTTTTTGTAAGTTGCAACCTTGAAGAAGACAAGAATGCTTGTCAAAATATTGGCTCCAGTCACAACCCTTGTTCGATAGTTTTTTGTCCATGCTGTTGGAGGAACTTCTTATACAAAGGCTTTTAACAATAATTTGAAATTCGTTGGTTAGAATATGCTGTTACGTGGAATATTTTGGAGGGCATTTCTGTTCCTCCATATTTGTTCTTGGTTCCATTTTTCATGCTCTCCATTTTCTGAGCAGTTAAGTTGCCATTGCAGCACTTATACAGGCATAACCATTACACGAGCAAATACCATGATGCTTCTGTGACCAGCACTGATCAAGGAAGCGCACCCACAGAAGCAACAGGCGAGCACTAGGATGAATGGTACTTACCTCCTCTTGCTGTTTGAGGAGCAGCGTGCACTTCGAAAGGCTGCTGGTAACGGACCGGGACAGCAGCAGTAGCTCGTGCCACTGAGACAACAACTCCTGGCAGGGGCCTGCCAGGCCCAAGCGGTGGGCGTCCAGCAGCTGCACCAGGCTGGCATGCAGCGAGGTTGCCCTGTCCACACCGCGTTGCAGAAGCTGCTGCTGGGCCTGGGCTGTCTGACAAGAGACGAGGCAAGAAAGGAAACTTTGGGCTGCTCCTCATGTTCACAAATAGCCAATGCCAAAGGCTTGGTTAGTTGGTCACTGATATAACGAAGCATGACTGCAGCATTTTAGTCGAATACAGCTTAAGTAGGGATGGGCAAATAGAATTCGATCGAATCCCGCACATAAAAAGCATTAAGAAAAAATTTAACCAGTGTCTAATACACCAATGCATTTTAATTTTCTTAATAAATTTGTAAATACAGTATTTATTTATTTTGCATAACAGGGCAAAAGTCACAATTTTTGTCATTCGTGACTTCGTTCAAAAAGTGACCATGGCTCAATACCCCCACGTCTCGAGTCAAAATGTGCTTTGCACCTTAAAAAGGAGGACGTAGCAATGGGAATCGTAAGCTTGGTCAAAATGTTTTTTTCAATTAATTGTATTCTGTAATCCTGAGACCATGGCATGTTTTACATCATAGTGTGATTTTAGACCAAAATAAGTAGTAGCAAAGGAAAAACAAGCATTTTACTGGTGGGCTGTCGTCAAAAGCTATGTTAAAACTGGGCATAGCAAAATGCAAATTTGAAGCCTTCCCTTGGCACAGGGCTGCCATATTAGCATCATCATAAAGAGGACAGATTGTAGCTCAAGATAGTATCAATGCTGCATTTCTCCAATAAAAAATAAAGCAAGCTTTCTTCCCAGTTTCGTTTTATCAGTTTCTAGCTCCAATATATTTGAGCTCCATTTTTTCAGCTTTCAATTTTGGAGCAGTTGCTGCCAGTCATCCCTGTGCCATTTCATAACAAATTAAGCTCTAGCCATTCCGTTTTCTGCACTTTGATTGTGAGACATTGGTGAGTGCCGTAAAGCTGTCCATATTTGCGTGCACATCACACACACTTTTGTAATTGGCCTTTTATAAAAGTTGTTAGTAAGACAATATGCCCTGGACATTTGAAAAAAAATTGTGTGCTTACTTCAAAATAAATATAAACCAATAGCATTACGGCACAAAATGAACCCTTGCGATTATCCTTATGCAAAAATTTTGATGAACTTGTGTCTAATTAGCTAATTAATTTGGGGGTGACCATGAGAGTCTATCAAGTGCTGTAACTCAAAGGTTATATAAGATAGCTCAAGGCTGATTTCAGTTATGATATCAGCACAACAAATGACAACGGCATGCCAAATTTCATCCTTTTGGCTTCATAAATAACAAAAATAAGTTTCATTGCCACGTCTTCCCTTTAAAAGGCTACCGACACAAAATTTTGCAGTTGAGATAGCCTGCGGGATCGATTCGCGTGAACATACGTATATCTTCTGCAAAATATCAACAGGAAGTACAACTTAGAAGGTATACCACATTAATTTTTAATGGCACTTACCACCTGATTATGGAATTTATTGCCATCTCACATCAAACAATGCTCAATGATTAGTTTATTTAAAAAACAATTGTATTCGTATTTGATTAACTACTACAGTAGTTCTCAAGTCGGGGTCTGCGGACGCTAGGGGTCCGAGAAGGCATTTCTAAGATCTGCGAAACCCTCACCCGCTTTTTTTAACATTACTTATACATCTGCAGCTCTGTTTAGGCGTGACTGTGCCACATATTGATGAACTGTCCAAAATGAAGTGATGTGGAATGTTTGATGTTTTTGGTAGCAATAAAAGGCACCTGTTTCACGATTCAGTTGTGTTAATTCACCTATGTACCCCCATCCCCTCCACTTCAAGAAGTCTGCCATCACTTCCACCAGTCCACAAGGGGTCCCGGACACATTTATGATAGAGAACCACTAGATGAATTTTTTTACCCCTGTTATATTGTTTATGCCACTGTTTTTTTTTGCTAGTATTTTAGCTAGCGTAGCTTTTATCAATTTACTTGTCTTTCTGTTTTCACTGTTACTGCTAATTGAGCAATTTTCGTTACCCAATCTTGAACAGGAGGTTCTCCTGCAGCCATGTGCTTTCGGACCTCCTCCTATATATATACTTAGTACGATGTTCTCTTTTCTGAACTAATAACTGAAATAAACTTGAAACTTGAAGTTTGCGTGAGCCATCGACTTCGTCGTGCCATTGACACCCTTGAAGCGCACCCTTTGGGGACCCCCTACTTTCCTCCCGTCACCACGCTGCAGTCAATAAAACAATAAAATAAGTCATGATGACGTCATAGCCGCCATTTTTCCTTTGCTGCATTTGTCCTGCAGTCTACACTTCTCTGCGGCTGGTTGCGAGTGCGTGGCCGTGGCACAGGCTTCACACGTTTTGTGTTTGGTGGCACTGCAATCCCATTTCCTATTCAAAAGTAATTCTTAATGCGAACCGTGCGGAAGTGCGCCAAAGTTCTGTGTGCTGATGTGGTCAAGAGCTGCACATGCTAGGTGGCGATAGCTGCCGTCAGTTCTTGGAGCTCTCTCAAACCGAAACTGAAACTGGTCGATAATGAAGGGCCTGTAATTAATTAACCGTCATGTGCTGCAGCTAAAGATGTGTCGTGCCGTGACTGAGAGGCCTCCAGCAACACATAGCAGCAGAGAAGCGTGAGGCCAGAGTTCTTGTGTCACTACCCCTTTAATGCTTACAGCCACCACCATCACCAAGTGCACATGACAAATTTTTTGAGAAAACAATGGCTGGCAACTGATTGATCGTCCATCGCAATGTAGCAAGCGAGTTTTTTGCCATCTCATGGGAAGCTTTCCCTACACGAATTTTATGGCGTTGCACGAGCTTTGCCCGAAAAAAAAAAAAAAAAGCTCATGAGTGCTGCATCCGCTGCGGACAAAATTGTGATCACTAAAGCCATAATCAGGGTCCAAACAGCTCAGATTGGAACACATGAGGCCTACACTCGTAATGCAAATGAACTGCTGAGCACTGCATTTACAGCTGGATAAACCTGCTGTGTTATAATGCACAGTGATGAGTGGCGCCGCCACCGTACCAAGGTATGCACCCGTTCCAGTTGTTCATGAACGCCTTTATCCTTCCTTTGTGTTGCACATTTGTAGCACTCGGTGCTTGGTGAGCTCCGAGAATTGTGCGAGTTAACCTGGTTGCAGCCAAAGTTTATGCCGTTAAACAATGTACCCGCCACGGTGGTCTAGTGACTAAGGCACTCGGCTGCTTGCTCTCAGGCCGCATTTTCGATGGAGCGAAAATGCGTGAGGCCCGTGTGCCTAGATTTAGATGCACGTCTAAGAACACCAGACAGTCGAAATTTCCTGAGCCCTCCACTACGGCGCCTCTCGTAATCATATGGTGGTTTTAGAACGTTAAACCCCAACAACTATTATTATTATTATTATTATTATTATTATACGTACGCTACTTGCGAATACATATGCTGCTTGCGAATAGCATATACAAAATTGAACGATGTGTTGAATGCTGTCCAAACTTTTGGCTGCTGTATAAAATGGCTTTATGGGACACATGAACAAGAATGCTTGAATTGGGTGTCTCTTACAGAATTGAGATATTTTCTGGTGTTTCAAAAAATGATTCATTCACTCCTACGACACCAAAACTACCAAGAGATGGTGGCCATTTTAATTCTTTGGGGAAAGGTAGTGTTTTGTGCAACCAGACTTACCGACAAAACGTCTTCAATGGAGCCCAGGGGCATGGGTTCGTCCTCCTCACTGTCCGAGGCATGCAAGCCCTGATGCGTATAGTGCCGGCTGAACTCAATGTGCTCTTTCAGCTTTGCCACCCACTTCTGTACAGAACACAAAGATGGCAGAGATATTAATTTGCATGTGAAAGGCACTAAATCAAAACTCTAAAACGAGAGTAGACACAACCTTAAAGAGGTACTGACACGAAAGTTTGCAGTTGTCGTTTTTCTGTATCAAATGAAAACCCAAACGTTCGAGAGCCTAGAAAAAAGACTGCTAACTGTTAGTGCATTCTCAAAAAGTAATCACGGCGTGTTTTCAAAAGCTAGTTTCCATTCCTAATGTACCTTGATGTCGCAAGAAAGTACGAGCTTCTCGTCACCTGGCCCCGTAGGATATCATGACATTTGCACAGCAGTTCTGCACTGTTGCTCCATTGATGAGGCAGAAGCAGCCATTTTGAAGGTTTTGTGATGCAAGAGCGGCTATTTTGGAAAAAGTTCTGGCACCTGACGTCATGACAATCAGCCAGACTGTTGCGTGAAGTCACCCTGATTAGTACTGTATCCTGATGTCAAGCTAGTGCCCATATCGGTAGGTGCACCATGTGAAAAATGGCTAATATCGAAATAAGATATCTCAGCATTTGCCAAGCTTCAAAGTTGCTCAGAGCAGTCCCTACATACGGGATATTTGTATGGCAAAGTAAATTCACCTCAAAAAAATTGTTTCAGTACCCCTTTATTGAAAGCGAGCCGGAAATGAAGCCAAAGAAAATGTAGAGAGCGTTATTTGTAATATTTTAAACGTTTTGTATTTGCGATATAGAAGCGAAGAAAGTAAAGTGCGCCAAAAGAAAACTTGCCGCTCTCAGAAATCAAAACTGCAACCTTCGGTTCTTTAAGTTCGGTCCCTGCCAGCCGCAACCCGTCTTTTCGTACACCTTTACTTTTTTTTCACATCTATAGGTTCAAATTAGTACAACACACTTTAAACAGGCTAATTAACATCCTCTGTACCTTTCTTGACTTCACCATCTACTGGTTTTCATTAAAGTTGTGTGAAACAAGAGAAACAAGCCCTCAAAATTCCTTTCCTCCATTACAATTACAGCAGAGTGATATATCAGTGCTGTTTTTATAAACTTGGATACAGCGAAAAATTTCCAAAAATCTCAGAAAAATATTCGATTTAATTCCCCCTTACACTTTAAATTTTAATTCCCTTCGCACCCAAAATTTTGCTATTTGCACAGCTCTATTAAAAACTGATTTCTCAGTGAACTTGAGCATCACGTTAGTGATGATATGTAAGATCTAAGGAAACTGTCGTTACCATGCGGTCCACCTTGTCATTTTCATCTGGAGGAACAGCCAGCCTTTCAGGAGGGTCTTCAGGAAACATAACAGAAAATGCTGCCTCATCACCAGGATCACACTGCGCAATGAGACAAATGGGCAAAACCTTAAGGCCTCCTGAAGGAAAAACCATATGTACATCTTAATACCCTTATGAACAGAATGGTTTACATATTAGTCACTTGAGTTTAAGAAGAAGCAACGTGCTATTTGCTTGAGTGAAACTGCATCGTATTTGCTTTTGCCGTATCAGAAAGCGGAGCCTTATGTTTTCGTTATCTTGATTTTTAAGAAACCAGCTATGAAACAGCAGGCAAGACAGCTATGATGCCACTTAAGGTGAAACTACTGTGCAGGCTGAAATATTACCTAAAATATTAAATTCAACACGATAAGAGATGAAAAGGCAAATCGAACATAGGCATTGCACTGAAAAATTAACCCTTGCATATTTTAAAACTGAAGACAAAGCTTGTGTGTGAATTGAAGAGTGTGTTGGAGTGCTTAAGAGCACCAAAGTGAATGATATTGTAATAGAAGGCTCACCAATTCTGTCTCCTTTAGTTGACTACCATACACACGCTTGCTTGCGACCTTTACTGTCTAAAGCACCCTGGAAGTTCTACTTATTACATTCAAAGTTCATTTGATTTCACAGCCTGCTTGCTATAAAAATTCCAGTAAACATTTATGATTTTAATGCTACATCAGCAGCGAGGAGATTTAACCAGGCCATGATACTGTTATATATGCTATGTAATGGGCTGGCTGACTGGTACAATTAATCAAGAAAAAACATTGACTATGATAAACAACACTAAGGAAGGGGCTTTCAAATGAAAAGTAATGTTAACAACCACCTAACTCACAGTAACCAGGAATGTTAAAAGCTTTAAAATTCCATGACACTCATCATTCCAGCATGCATACTCAACTTTCTTCCATCTTCTCAACTGTAGAGCATCAGCCCATTCGCAGACGTTCTCGCATTCAAAAGCCAGTACATTCTACACTTGTTATAATGGACCCGGGTACAACAGACTTTCGGATACAACGGACCATTATTCAGCCTAAGCTTGGTCTGTGTATGAAATTAATGCAGCGAGGTTCAATTTTAACGGACTGCAATACAATGGACTATCGGCTACCATGGACGAAATCAGCGGCATTTTTTTCGTAATTGTACGCATGTAGCGGACTTTTGCTTGCTGCATTAACACGGGCTGATAACATATTTGACCACACCGCTTTCTGTGAGCTAAAGCCACGGTAATTTTAGTTGCAGCTGGCAACATTGGTGGCTTTCGGCCAAGCCAAGCTTCCAGCCAAGCCAGTCTAAGAGCACGTTGGCGACTTTATGCACGGACGTAGATAGTTGACGCCATTTTGTCGTTGTGTTCCTGTGCTTGACTATTATGTCTATTTGCTCATTTCGACGTAATGGCCTCCAGAAAGCGGAAGCAAATTTCGCTGAATGACAAGCTCAAGATAGTGAATGCGGTTGCACGCGGTGAGAAACAGGCGGACATCGCAAAAACAATGGGACTGTCCAAGCAGACCGTGAGTTCAATTGTGAATAATAAGAGTATTGCTGGCAAGCAAGTGTTGGGGGAAATTAATCCCAAGCGCTTCAGGCTCCGCGAGGCGACATACCCGGACGTGGAGTCTGCACTACTCGTGTGACTGCATGATGCCCGATCTCGCAATATTCCGTTAAACGGATGCTTACTGAGGAAGCGGGCCGAACAGCTAGCTGTGGTCCTCGGACATGACGGCGTCACTTTCAGCGACGGATGGCTGGAGCGCTTCAAGGCAAGACACAACGTTACATTCATGCACGTTTGCAGTGAATGCAACAGCGTGAGTGTCAACGCCATCACCGAATGGCAAACCAACGAGCTACTAGCGCTTTTTGCCAGATACAGTGATAAGGACGCATTTAATGCAGATGAAAGTGGTTCATTTTATAAGGCCAAGCCGAATAGGACCTACAAGGTTTCCGGCAGTCACTGTAACTGTGTTTAGCGCTCCAAGGAGCGTTTGTCCGTGTTATTTTGTTGTAACATGACCGGCACTGAGAAGAAAAAACTGTCAGTGAATGGGAAAGCCAAGCAGCCTCGCGCCTTGCAGCACGTAAAGAACATGCCAGTTGAGTGGACTGCCGATACAAAGGCATGGATGATGAAGGACATCTTCAAAGCCTGGCTATTGCAGTTCGACCAGGAGATGACAAAGCAGAAGAGGAAGGTGCTACTCTTTCTGGACAACTGCTCCAGCCACATGAAGCCACCCCAAATGTAAGCGATTGAGCTGGCCTACTTTCCACCAAATGCGACTTCGATACTGCTGCTGATTGACCAAGAAGTCGTGCATTTCGTGAAGGCTGCCTACCGTACTCGCCTTGTCGAACGCCTGCTCTTTGACATGCAGAATAATCGGGCGTCGAATATAGACGTCAGATTTTCTGTGGAAGTGTTGGCGAGCGTTTGGCAGCAAGTCAGAGGTACAGTAATTAAAAATTGCTTCAGGAAAGCTGGTTTTCAACAAAATGATAGCAGCACCAACGACAGTGCAGATGAAGAGTCAACTATCCCAGATGAAACATCAAACCCGTCAGTGTGGCCTCAGTCAGAGAGGCATTCAGGGCAGACAGCTTCTCTGGCTTCGTCACATTTGACAACGGCAATGTCGACAATGAGGAGCTGACTGATGAGGAGGCGAGAGCGACAATCGAAGCCTGTTCTGAGCCATCATCAGACGACAGCGAGCATGAAGACGAGTCCCCTACAGTAAAGCTGACTTCACAGCAGGTGGTTGACCACATTGATGAATTGAAGGCCTACTTCCAGCTGCAGCAAGACGACTGCAGTGTTGTAGCCGAGTGAAATGCGGCGCAAAGTGATAACATCGTTGCTCAAGGGTGCTCGTCAATCGTTGATCACTACTAATTTTTTTCAAAGTAATTGTAAACAAAAAGTTTTTGTTTGTGTTTTGAATTAGATGTTCGCCACTCATTGCAGTAACATTGTTAGGCATCGCAACCATGATTTCAAAGCAAGATGTTCCGGTCCTCTGAGCAGGTGAGTACCGTTGTCAAATCGTTCCCGGCAATAAGCGGCCCTATACAGCTGATATGTCTTCCCGTCCGCACAAAAGAAAATTCATTCGAAGCCGATCAACAGGAACCGATGAAAAAGCGTTTTGTTAGCGGTCTAAGCTTTGCTGCTGTGCAGGAGCCACGTGGCATCCCTGCATATACTGTAACGGCACTGCACTGCGATTTTGTTAATAGCCGCTGCTAGTAACTGAAGTCTTGTGTAACCATGCTGGGGAATGCAACCAGCAGACCTAGGCTATCCCATAATGCCGATTGGAGTCGTCACACAACGACGCACACACGCACACACGCCCCCCCCCCCCCCCATTCGCCGCGAGGTATGGATATTACGGACTTCAGATAGAACGGACTTATTTTGCCGGATTATCACGGTCCGTTGTAACGACAGTAGACTGTACTATCAAGTTCACTCAATGACAGAACGTGCCAGCTAGTAAGCCACTTATGGTGATTGGGGCAAGGTTAGTATTTTCACACCAAAGGAACCGAGTATACAGATGCTCCTCGATCTGATCTTGAGAATGCCCATCAAAAGTTGCACCGAGTACCTGACCAGTAAGTGAAAGTAACGGGACATCCGTACCTCAACTTTAGCAGCATCCAGATAGTAGAAGCGTTTCCGACGCATCCCAGATGCAGCATCACCACTGTGAAATTAAAGAAAGCAAACAGAAAAAAAGAGAAAGTCATAATCAAGGTCACGTATAACATTTACCGGAAAAACATATTCTATGGTCATCTATATCAAAATATGGGCTCTCAGAAAAAGAAAGGGGTGTGGGGGGAAGAGGAAGCTAGCCATTGCGACAATTTCCGACTAAATCGCCAGGATGTACCAATAACAAAAGGAACACGCATAAGTGATGCACATATGATAGAATTACTGCACAGTTACGTAATCTCAGAATTCTCTCTGTCCAGCTGCAAACCTGCTAGTTCACGCTTTTTTCATTTCAATGTGAAGAATGCTAAAAATAAATTTTAAAAGGCACCTGATACAGTGCTGCAATGTGAAGTGCATTAAATTTGATTTTCAGGGGCCCGTACAGCGAAGTTTTACAGTAATGAGAAAAATACTAGCACGTATGCAGCAAAAATATGTTTCCAATAACTCATTCAACAATAGTGATTAGTATGACGAATTTTTACTGTCTTTGCCCATGGAACTTACCGTGAACGAAAAAATGAGAGCACTCCTCTGTCAAGAACAGCCCACACTGGACGAGGACCTAGAAATCTCTTCCTCTGCAAAGACCACGTTACCAGCAATGTAGGAAGCAACCTAAGTAAGGTTCACTGCAGAACGCTAGTAAGGTTCACTGATGTGTACCAGCTAGTAATATCCCATTATTTCTGTTTGACATCAGCCAAGCTCATCGTAAACCTAGAAATTTGCTGCTGATGCTTGTCACATCTGCTTATCTAGGCTCTGGCCCACTTACCTTTCCTTTCCTCAGGTAATTATCTAACTGGGACACTTGTTCAATGCCTTCATACGAGGCGTGCACTAAACCCTTTTTTTTACTTTTTAATATCAATACCTCTTTATGTTGTAAGTCTATATTTTAAGATTACAGCTACCACTTTCCAGTCAACTGATAATGCATTTATTACAAGTTCATTCACTTCCCTATTACATGTTAACACTGACTTGTCTATACATCTTTGACGGCACGCGAAGAAACACCTCTGACATCTTATTAGGGCAAAAAAAAGTGAGATAATGATGTAGTACTCAACACCACCACTGAATATTAACTTAATTTTGTCAAGACACTCCCGAAGTCACTACAAAGACAGTGCCACCTAGAGTGTTATTTGTGGAGCATCAATTATCATGGTTTGCTGTTCAGTAATTGGAAACTTTGTAGATAAATTGCATGACAAAACACAGTACATATTCAAAATTAAGAGTGTTACATCTAGTGTTCTCTGTTGGAAATTGTGTGCATCCCTCTACATTAAACTAATCAAACTACTAGTGCCATTTACTTTTGAAAATGCCCCTTTCTGTAAATATAGCTCACTTCTCAACTGCACAACAGTCCATAAAGATTGCCAGTTAGGTACTGCAAATGCATGTAGGACAATCATTCACTATTGTGAATTTATCATTATGTTATTGCACAAAAAACATCAAATTTGCTAAAAATAGGAAGTGAAATAAATGTCCACCTAATTTTGCTCAATGAGATATGGATGAACGAAACCTACCAAGCCTCTTAACACTGTCAAGTGCACACACAAAGGGATATGATCGAAAATCTATTTAAAGTGCCATAATATAGAGAACGCAGTTTGTTCTTGACAGCTTGAGTCAATTCAAGCCTTTTGATACAAAACCTAGATTCATTCAACGTGCAGTGTGCTGCTACGTGTAACATTACAAAGCCCAACGTTAACATAAACACTATCACATTTCACAAAAAGTCTGGTGTCAGCGTGGTCCTCTTTCGTTGTGAACAACAAAATTAGGGCAGCTTCACACTAGGGGTGCTAAGCCTAAAGGAAAAGTGGAACTGCAAATCCATTTTTGTTTCTCGTCAGTTTTATTTCTTCTCCTCCTTCCTTTTCTTCATTTCCATTTTTTTTCCAGCTTTTTTCTCTTATTTTTTCTTCTCTCATCTATTTTTTTTCTTGCTCTTTTTATTTTGCTTCTTATTTTTCTATTTCTCTCTCTTCTATTTTTGCCCTTGCTTCCTTTTCTTTTTCCTATTTTACACGTCGTTTTGCTCTGCATTACGCCAATCGCATCAGCCGTTTTTCTGCTGATGATGATAAGTGATCACAATCAAGGTGCTTAAAGAACAAGAAGCAGACTTCTTCTTGGTGCGAGCCCATGCTCGGTATGTTACACACGGCACATTACGCATGCGACGACGACAGCACACAACAGCCCACAACAGCATACGACAGGCCAGCCCCCCAAAATGCTCTGCATGCAAAAGCCGTGCTTGCTGCGAGCGAAAATTCGAGATACGTAGATGCAAGTAATAGTAGAAGCCGGAGGGCATTTGCACCTAAGCTTTACTTGCAGCAGCTTTTATTGCAGTCCGGTTTAGGCCTCCACTGAGAGCCTCCACTGAGAAGTGAAGGCAGGCTAGCAGTAGGGAAGGGGATTCTGAGTATGTGTGTGTGTCCTTGTGTGCGTGTGCGAACACATGGAATTGCTATCAAGTTCATCTCTGAAAGGTGAAAACTTAAAGGCCCCCCCAATCTTGACATGTTGGTTGTCATGCCAATAACGACAGCAATGGCAAAAGAATGATGTGTAAATATCTCGTTAACTCTTTCCTTACCACGCCACTAGGCATCGTTCACCGGTGACTGATGATTTTGCACTACCACTTTTGAACAACTATCGCGCTTTGGGACCCCTAGCGCCATCTAGGCTATTATACACACACCAGAATTGTTTTTTTTTTTGCAGGTTTGCTTTTTTACCGCGGGGCGGCGAGTTATAAAGGCCCCGCGAGTTCAAAGATTCAAGTGCACGGGAGCCGCACGACGGCGTCGACGTCCGGAAACAACGCGCGCTCAGAAAACGGCTATTTCGCTCGATGCCAACACTTGGACGATCGATCTTTTGGACTTCTTGAGCAGTGAAGACTTAGGCAATGATTTGGCAGCATCAGAGTTCAGCTCCGACGAAGAAATTTCACCAGATGGCTGTTAGTTGAGAGTAAGTTCCCCAGTTTCGGCCACCCGCAAGTGTACAGCACAAGCCCGAAATATTGGACATACAGCGCAATTGTAAAAGTGCTACCAAGAGAACAAAATTCAACACAAGATGAACGTTTTCTGTCGCACATGCAACATCCATGAGTGCTTCACAGCGAGAAATGGTTTTGGTGCTTGGCACACTGATCTGTCTGAATGAACAACTCGTAGCTTAAAAAGTTCTTGAGCTAAAGCTTTCGTTTTTTTTTTTTCACTGCTATTCCATTCCGCTGTTCGGCATATTTTGCACTCATATTTTCCCATAATTTTTTTACTCAGAAGATATGTCTATCATTATTACCTTTATTGTGAACTTAGTTAATTATTTGTGTTTGTCAATTTTTGTTACATTTAGAGCTGCCATTTTTTTTGGTACCTTTCAAACCGCCCATTTATTACTTGCATTTTCGTATCCAGTATTTTGCTGTAAGTTATTTCTTTTTTCAAAAAAAAATCTTGAGTAGGACCAACCCAGAACTTCACTATTTCGCTATGCATGACGCAATTTTTTGAAACTTGAAAACAACACAATTGAATTTCACAATTGCTCTAAGTAATGTTGCCCAGTGACTATTGAACATTTTGAATATTTCAGAATTTCTCCAAAAGAATGTTTGTTGGAAATGTCGCTTTGTTCTCAAAAAAAGCTTTGTTAAATATTGTTTTTTTATCTACAAATTTTCTTGAGGCAACTAAGTTTTTTTTATTGTTATGAAATAAAGAGCATTGGAAAGTAGATTCATTCGCCTTTATTTCGGTGTATTGCATAACACCGTAAACTCGGCAGAAATGGCACAGAATATTCCTAGCTAGAACATGCGAAAATCAGCCACTTTCCGTGTGGTAAGGAAAGAGTTAACTTTGTGCCAGTACTTAAGAGGAATCAGTGTTTCAAATTGGTGATTGTATTATTTCAATGCAAAAGTACATACGATCTAGGGCACAATTCCAATACCTTCCTAATTAGCAGCATAATTACTTGGACACATTACTCGGGAGTCTAGTTACTCTACATATTATGACTACATTACTATCATGGCTAATCAGAACATATGCACAAAGCAACATTCATTTTACATTATTCTTTAATAAAATGAGCAGTGCCCTCTAATAAATTATCAGATATTTGACACACACACACACACACATGCACGCACGCACGCACACACACACACACACTCACACACACACACATATATACAGTTTATCGTAATTAAAAATGAAAAGAATCTATACAATTCACGAGGCAACATCCGCACATACCCTCAGTAGGGGTCCCTCATGCCTGCTGGCATTCTTGCGTAACTGACGAATGGGTTCCACATCAAGAATCTGTCTCATCTCATCTGTCCGTGCCAAATCAGATGCCAACTGCTCTGTAAAAGAGAATACACTTCAAATTTGTTTTTCTGAAGACATACCGGAAGGAATTACGAATAAAAAGAGGAATCATGTGCTTCACATGACCCAAGACCCCCGATCAAAAATCAATCCAATGAAAACACGATAGGATAGCAATAAAGGAGCTTGAGGCATGTTCAAAAGTGCACAATTATTTTTGTAGTAACGTAAGTGGAAACAGGCAATTACACTACGCTGCCGCGTATTTTAATGCAACACTGCAACAGTGCACAACGCTATAATTTATGCAATATACATAGTACTGATGAAATTTAGCATCAGCATGGTAACACATCAGCAAACATGTATTATAAAACACTACTAAATGAACAGAAAAGAAAAAGAAACCTTATTACATACTTCAATGATGACTTTTCTATACATTCAAAATTGCATTACTTAGAAAGCTGTTTGTTTAAAATAACAGGCATGTTTCGTAGCAAGGGCTGTAGTTTGTAATAGGAAAAATCTCAAGAACAGTGCAAAATGTGCTAGTTTATATGGTCAAGTTTCTTTTAATGAACTGATCAATAACCGTGTCTTAGGACAGTGTCTCGGGACAGCTCCAGATAATGCACCATCATTGATTTTCCCAATTAACACAGCATTATTTTATTAAGCAGTTGTTTTGCACTGCAGCAAAAAGCATGGAATGACATTGCTTCATTGGATGCTTGCGAGAGTTTAGAAAAAAAAAGTCATGACTGTGACACCTTTTGCCATGAAGTCGACAATGAGGCATGCTAGTTCGACAAAAATATCTAATTTAAGGACATGCTCCAAGGTGTCTCCTCATCTACAAATGGCCACTCCAAAGAGATGCAATTGTTGGTAAAGTGCAGCATGACAGCTGACAGAAGAAAGGCAAATGAAGACAAGCGTCACCTATGCCATAAAGAGAGAGTGAGAGAAAAGAAACTGCATACCTCTGTGATTACGCAGTGTTGAGTTAATACCACACTGCAGGAGGAAGACAGCCACTTCCTTGTTGTCACAGTATGCCGCACAGTGCAACGCAGTGTTGCCAAAGCCATCAACACTGTTGATGCTTGGCGGATGACTCCCACGAAGCTGTTTGTTCAGAGTGGTAATGCATGAAAGAGACAACAGAAAGCAGAGCCAATAAAAGCTTTGTTTATAGGGAAGCCATATCTGCTTGGAAGCGTTTTCTTTTACAGCCATGAAATGCCACTGTACCAATACAGTCGCAACCACTTCGTGAAATTGAAGACTTGAGTAGGTTATGTCAGCCACGTCAAACTAGTACCGCACGAGATGCCTCTTTTAGGTACAGGGCCTCCGAACATTCAACAGGTTACTTGTCAAAAAGATTATACCAAATAGATGACTTCACACCCTAAAGCAGGGGTTTAAAACTTGCCTCAGTTAGAGGGCTGCAGTCATGAAATTTAGTCTCACAAGGGCTGGCAAAGTGCAGATAGTGAAAGATGCAAAAATAATTTGAACAAAATGTGGCCTAATGTTGCCATGTTTCCATTTCAAACAATGCCTTTCCGATATACAGGCTCATCTAATGTCAGGTTGTGAAAATCGTATCGATGGTGATTTCGACAATGACTGAAAAAATGGGCGCTACTTCTAAAATTTAGTTTTCGTTGCGTGGTGAAGTCATCAGACCGCATGGGGTGTTCACAAAGAATAAATGCTTGAAACCAGTTTTGTATCTGTAGCTTACTCCCCCACCATTTATGTTAATTGCAATAAGCGAGAAAACAGCGACTTCTACTCTCAACCCTCAATATAACAAACATGGATATAACGAAATATTGGTTATAATGAAGTAAATTAAAAATAGTCTAGCTATACATAACAGTGTTTGGAATAACCTTCATAACGAATTTTCGGATATAACAAACTTATTTTCTTGAAAAATGCAACTTCGTTATACAGTAGACTCTCAGTAAACGGAAATCTGTTGAATGGAACAACTACTTAGACGGAACTATTGCCTCTGCAATATTTGGTTTCGGGCTTGTATTCCGCACTCATGTTCATCTCTCAGTAAACAGAACTCCTGTTCAATGGAACTTAACTTCTTAGTCCCTTCAGGTTCCATTTACTGAGAGTCTACTGTAATGGGGTTCGCATGTACTTCCCAAAGTAAAAAAAAAACATTACTCTGTGTGAAACCATGGGCTGCTAGCAAGAGGTCTGCCGGTAGCGTGTTTGTGACCCCTGCCCCATTGCGTTTTTCAATGATGCACTGAAGTTTGTTTTCAACTTAATTAGCTTCAATAAGTTAGTATCCAAGGCCTTACACCTTGCATGGAAAGTATTGTCTCTCAGTAATCTTAACAATGTAGCAATAATACAATGCCTCCTTTGGCAGATGGAGCTATACTCGATGACAATTTTTCTTGGCTCTGGGAAAGCTACGTGGAGCCTCTGCAGTGTATCACTACATGAAGTAGTCCGTCTTGGCGTGCGTCTTGTAATGCTATGCAAAGTGATGGGGGTGCAACATCAGCGTTTTATGTAGACGTAGACGCCGCTTAGCGTCTGAGGTGCACGCAAAAAGGCGGGACTTTCTCGTGCGTTCAAAAGTGTGAAACCACAATGAATAAATTTAAGTAAATATGACTATTTTAGTGGTGAGACCTGCATCCAGTCTCAAATAGCTCCAAGTCTAAAACGAAGGAGGAACTTCTGTAGTTCACGGTGAAAATACGTATGCTGTTGTGGAACTACATTCACTGGAGGTAAGATGCCTGCGATTTGGCTCTGCAGCCTTCACTCCACTGCCAAGAAATTTTGTCACCGAGTATAGGCTCAACTTTATTAAAGAGCTACATTCGAACCCTTCATAAGAGACATTGATATAAGAGATGGCAGTGTGCCAACAGTAAAATACGGGTTGATAAGAAAGCACTTACGAGGTGCTCAGCTTATAAGAGGCATCTCACATAAAAGACAAAAATTGCTGCCTGGAGCTTGCTTCTTATCAAGGAGTTTAACTGTATATGTAGTTTCTGTCACTCATAACAGAGGTAAAACAGCTATGCAAGATAACACGTGGTTTCTTTCCTTTTGCAACAACCCTATAAAGATGCCAACATAAAAGATGGAGTGTTTTGTGTACACAAAAAGCAAGGCATTAGGTCAAGAAGAAGCTTCTTCAAGAGTAGTAAAATGCCGACTGCTGTGTGCATCTCTTCACGCTAAGGCAAGCAACGTGGTGACGTTCCCAATGAACAATGAAAGTATCACGTATCAGAAGCAGCCAAGCAGACGTTTCACTAAGATCCTTTGAACAGCGTGCCACCTGAGAGGACTACAGCAGTAGCCAATAAATTCTTGCCTTTGCTTTGAAATCTCACAGACATGAACATGACATAGGTATGCTTCCTATAAAGTCATGGTATGATACTTGACTGCATCATCTTTTTACTAGTCGATGAAAATATCAATCAACTCACAAGCAGATTTTTGACTAGTCGACATCAGCAGCTCAAGCCAGAGCTAATGAAGTGAACAGCCATGCTCCTTTTTGTGCTTTACAGATTCTACAAAATAGCTTTCGAATATTACAGAATTAAGTATTTGGGAATTGCTTGATGTCATCTAATATGTATTATATTTGAAGTTGGGAATTGACTTGGCTACCATGTGACCATTTTGGCTAAAAATTAACAAGCAGGCCATGACTGGAAGTCAGAAGTATAAGCTTTGACATTGAGTTATTACCGAGAATGAGTCTACTGGAATATAGAGGAAAAAGTGCACGATAAGCTAAGCTTGGACAAACGTTTGATTAATATGTGGAGTTTAACGTCCACAAACTACCGTATGTTTATAAGAGACGCCGTAGTGGAGAACTCTGGAAATTTCCACCAGCTGGGGTTCTTTAACGTGCACCCAAATCTGAGCACGCGAGCCTACAACATTTCCGCCTCCATCGGAAATGCAGCTGGGATTCAATCCCGCGACCTGGGGGCCAGCAGCTGAGTACATTAGCCACTAGACCACCGCGGCGGGGCAGCTTGGACCAACACACACAAAGAATATTTGGTTGACACGCACCAGGCATTGTATTGTCTGCACGTTCCCTTCCTTCGCAGCTGCAAAAAGTTTGTCGGCCTTCTTTCTTGCATCAGCAGCTTCTGCAGCTGTAAACAAAAACACCATGAGGATGAACACCGTCATTGCATACCAAAGAGACAAAAAAAAAACATTTTTTAAACAACAATCTTGCATGCTTGTACGACTCCACCCACCTGCCAAAATGCGTTTGATATCTTCATCCTTGGCCACTTGGCGTGGCGACTGCCCCTCGCAATTTATGATGAAAACATCTGCATTGTGCTTCAGAAGCAGCATCACCAGGCCCTGAAAAAGAGGTGCGTAGTACAGATTTACGAGCTCCAGTGAGCTATACATAGATCAAGAAAGTTTACAACCATGGCAAAATCTACAAATATTTCAGAAATTTCCCACTGAGCTAAGTATAAAGCAATAATGTGCTCACCATAAATATTGGTAGAATTAGCAAACAGTGCACCCTCACTGATTGTAACAAAGGCTACTATTAAAGTCAGATGCTACATTCCATTTGATGAACACTTCATAGAGAGACCTCACTAGCCGTAGTGTGATGCACGCAAAATGCAAGTCAACTCCACTGTTATGTTGCATAGGTATTTCCTATGTACGCAAGCATAGATATTGCACACAGGCACGCACATTTCCAGCATGGTGCTAAATGATTGTTTTATCCTGGTGATGATATCATTCCAGTCAGAACGAACATACATCCGTGTTTGGCTACACTGATGGTATGTCTATTCTAGGCCATGTAGTGAATTTCACATCGGCTAGATAGGAGCAGACACTGCGGGGCTTCCCTATTTCCTGCATTTCTTCTAATCTTTCTCAGCATTTACAAGGAAAGTACATGCTAGCAGAGCTATGCTTACAGAGCAGCATGGGACAGCGGAGGGCTAAGAGCTAGCAGAACTGAGCTATAATCTTCCCATTGTCTCCTGCTTCCTTCTACTGCTGAATGACATTCGAATTTCAGAAGTGCACTACACAGTTATGATGCAGCCGGTAGTGACTACCTATCTTTCTCTATCAGCCACAACAGAAGAGATGCAACTCAGCAACATGGTTCACATCAATAATATGGGTTCGTTGGCTCAATGAGCGGCCCAGCAGAGATAAATGCAAATAAGGTGACTCCGTTAATCAGCGAAGAGTGATTTAAAGTGTGAAACTGATTCTGCCTAATCACAAGAAGTTGTATGGAGGCAACACCATCTTGCCAAGATGGTCGAACTTGGAGAAGCTTTCCTTATCTAGCTGGTCTTTTTGTTGATTGCAACAGTATTTTTCATCTGCTCAATGTTTTCTCAATGATTTATATGTGAGGTTTAACGCACCAAAACCACCATATAATTATGAGAGACGCCGTAGTGGAGGGCTCCAGAAATTCGGACCACCTGGGATTTTTTAACGTGCACCCAAATCTGAGCACACGGACCTACAGCATTTCTGCCTCCATTGAACTAGCTTTCTCAAGAAAATAAACTTCCATACATGAACAACTGCAATATTTTCATGTACTTAAATGAACACAGCATTTTTTTTGTCCACAAACTCACCTCACGGCCGGTGTAAGCTGCCTTGTGCAAGGGGGTGTCTCCTTCACGATTGATGACATCCACATAGGCTCCATGCTGCGCAAGGGAGCAACACAGTGCTCAGAAGATGCATTTGCACAGTTTAGATGTGACATTATGAGAAACAACAGTCATGTCAAACTAGCCAAATTGTTATCCAACCAAGCAAGTATGTATAATATTTCTGTATTGAATGAGAAAATTCAGTATGAGCAAGGAAAACAATAATCAGGCTTCCTCTTTATTAATTTTGTGTCACACTCTGTCTTTCTTCACAAAACAGTCCTGTACTTAAGTCATAGCAAAAGTATGAAACGTCACAGTTTTGCCGCAAGTGGGAAACAACGAATGCTATACCAACAAAGTGGAATGTCATGCAAAGAACGGCAAGCAGCTCAAAACTTGAAGCATGGTGCTCAAGCACAAAGTATACATAAAAAAAAAACATACACAGGATGAGTATGAACTAACCATTGTCACAACTCGACACTTGGAGCACGCCGCTCAAACAGAAAAAAAAAATGATGCAGGAAATAAACAGCACAGATTTACACAGGACAAGCATGAAACAACATCTATCACAGTTGTAACTGCTCTTTGTTTAATAGGGCGACTACTTAAAAGAGGTTTCAGGGCTGCTTTGAACTCACTTTGACTGCACACATCATCCCAATAGTACAGCTCATAAAGTTTTATTCCTTTCAATCTAACTTAAAGGCTATCTGATAGGCTTTATATTTGCAGGCTAGAGTGTGTTCACCAATGCTGCCCATGTGAGTGAGTGCAAACAGTGTACAGTACATGCCCATCACACAGTCACTGTCTCGACAAGAATGCAGACTGTGAACAGGAAAATGTGGGTCACGCTATATTATCTTTAGGGGACGGCATACTTATAGTGCTCCTTGTCGACAGTGCCTTGGAGGGGGCTAGAAACAGTTAAAGGTGAACTTTTCCAAGTAGTCTGGAACACACTGTTGGAAACAATGAATTACACATGGTCTAGGCTTTTATTTGCAATAGGCCTTCAACGATATGAAGGATAGGGTTGAACTGGCTTTTCATTGTTCTTTTGCGAGAAAAAAGAAACAGGACAAAGGATGAGACATAGGATGAATCACACAAAGGCACAGTTTCCAACTGCCCTACGCTAAAGCACGCACTTATTTAAATGCAATTATACAACATGAAATCACAAATTTATGAAGACCATGTACAGTTACTGTGTAATAAACAGAAATAGAAAAACAAGCAAGACTACACAGCTCATGTGTGAAAGAAGTTTTCTGTGAAGATAAAAGTGCCACCTAAGAATAAAATAAAAAGAGCTATATTTGTAAATCATGCTTCTATAATATCGAAAAATGAAAAGAAAGAAAAAGAAAAACAATTATGCTGCTCACACCAGCTAGCTGCCAAATAGAAAGTTTGGGTGGTGCCCTGCCTTATCTTTTATAGCAGTGAGATCAACACAGGCACTTCAAATAACCACAGTGAAAAAGCCTTATCTCTGTGATTCACACATCTATAATTACATTCCAATATCTCATCATATGTTAGAAAACAAGTAAATGAAAACAGCCCTCTGCTGACAGCTTTAATGAAGAATTCTAGAAACCTAGGAGCTTGGTAACAATATAATAATTGGGGTTTAGTGTCCTAAAATCATTACACGATTACGAGAGACGCCGTAGTGGAGGTCTCCAATATTTCGGCAAGCTGGGGTTCTGTAACGTGCACCTAAATGTTTGAGGCACACGGGCCTGAAGTATTCTCGCCTCCATCGAAAATGCGGCGGCCGCGGTTGGGATTAGATCCTGGGACCTGCGGGTCAGCAGCCGAGTGCCTCAGCCCACCATGGCGGGTAACTTAAGAGCTCGTTGAAAGCAAGAATGGTTACAGTGCACTTAATGTGTTTGCATACTTAATGTGTTTGCATACTTTAGGCAGACTATCACTGCTCAGGATAGACCACGGACCATCTATACACACCTGAAGTAGAAGTTCAGCCACATCGAAATGTCCAAAGTAGCAGGCCAAGTGCAGTGGTGTCCAGCCCAAATTGGCCTTCTGCGTGCCTGCCCGAATAAATAATCAAACTGTGGTTACCACTGTTAACTATAGCAATGGCTTGTTGCTTGAACGCAACATCATGAGAAGTTCATTTAGGCTCCAGTCAGCAACAAATATAAACTTTAAAAGAACAGTATGCGCGTATCAAGGACGATAAGTAAGGAAAATGGGAATTAAGAGTATGCAAGTGAGATACTGCCACTAAAGATGCTGAAGTTTAAATTAGCACTTTCAGATTAGTCGAACGAAAATTTGCGTATTGCTAAGCTGAAACAACTAAAACATTTTTTTTTTCAACGAGTTGACGAAACGAGTTGTTAATCCGCTTCTCATCAAGTGAGTAGCATGTTTATTAACGAAACTACAGCAAAAGCGCTGGCCGTGTCTGCCACCTCTTATTTCGTCCACGTGCAGCCTTGCGATGTAAGCATAGTTGATTACCCACCATTGATTCATATGTGGGGTTTAGCGTCCAAAACCACCATATGAGTATGAGAGACGCCGTAGTGGAGGGCTCTGGAAATTTCGACCACCTGGGGTTATTTAACGTGCACCTAAATCTTAACACACGGGCCTACAACATTTCCGCCTCCATCGGAAATGCAGCCGTCGCAGCCGGGATTCGATCCCGCGACCTGCGTTGATTACCCACAAACTAGCCCATACATTTACATTGCCGAGTTATCGCATAATGACAGTAGATGTCAGCCGTTAGAAAGACAGAGGAATGCACAAGAGTACAGAGATAGACACACAAAAATAAAAGGGCCAGGAACTTACCTTTGCAGTCAACATTGGGGGCGACTTTTTCCGCTGCAGCGTTGTTGAGGAGGTTCTCAACAGCCGTGTATGAGCCTGATCTCGCGGCCTGCAATAGTTCTTCCTCAGGTGATAGATCGGCAGCACCGCAAGCATCTTCGTCGTCCGAAAGAACGCTCATGATCGTCATCTACGAAACGAAAGACTCGCTCCGTTCTCTTGACACCCGATAGGCGATGATACGGCGATCTTACGTAAGTAAGCGGGCATGCCAATAGGCGCGCACAACGCCTCCCAGCCTCACTGTCGAAGCACAGCCCCGGGAAACGACACTTCGGGCCACATACAGAATATATGCGCGTGTTTGGCGAACTCCTTCACCTCAACGCTAACAAAAATTACCTTTTACGAAGTTTAATAGTCGTACGTTGACGGCGCAGCCCAACCAAGACACCCGCTATCACGTGTCAGCTGTTGTCAAAAGCAGTGAAGGTTTTTCTATTTTTTATTTTCGGTTTGCTTTTTCAGCAACCTAAAAGCTCAACGCCGCACTTGTGTATGTCAACCTTTCTAAACAAATGTCACAAAATGTAAACATTTATTAATTCAATATGTTTTGTGATATATAAAAAGACAGCAAATCTAAAATTATTGACTTAAAAGCAGCACTTAACTTTCTGCGAAGGTGTTCTCTGGCATCACTGGCAAAATGGCGTTGCAGCAAACTAGCCGGGTCGTGAGGAGCTTGAGATTTCTGCCGTGTTTAAGGTATGTGCCTTATGCTGACTTTGCATCTAGTGCCCAGAAAAGAAAGAATAAACTTCAACGGTGCACTCGAGAAGCTGCTCTTGTCTTTGGCGGTAGCACGCGCAGTTTGCAAGACTTTCGTTATGCACTCATGTAGCCCTAGACGACCTAGCGAGACTGAAGGGTCAACGCCTGTTTTACCTTGTCGTTGCCTGCTTACTAAACATCAGTTTGCGTTAGATTTCGAGTCTCAGTGTTCATCCGCCTTGGAGACGTACGCTGCCTCGTCTTATGCCCCAAAAAAACCGCGTATGCCGGCTGAACGATGCACATTTTGCAACAGGCTGCCTCTGGGGACGTGTCGAGTTGCGTGTTGGTTGCGCCATTAATGGTGCTCATGTTTCTTGTTGCAGCCAAACTCGGTTTTCACAGTCACAGTCCGGCGAATGGGGCAGTGGCTCTGGGAAGGTAAGTGCAGGTTTCGTTTTATTTCTTCATGTTGTGCACCGCGTGCTACTGGCGCCGGCGCTTCGCACGCATGATAAATGTCTAAAGTATGCTTTTAACAGTAGAGCTGTTTAAGGGTAGATCAGGTGTCGTGTAAACGAAATGCGTATATGCGCCACAGACAGCGGGTATGTGCCAAGCAGCTCCTAGCGCGGCGTAACATAGTAAGGTGGTGGGAGAGGAAGATGAGGATGAGAACGAAGGAAATGAGACGGGGATAAAGCATGACAGCCTTGTTTAGTATAGTTTAACAAATAGGTAGGAATGGTAACTGAGGGTAAGAAAGGCTGACGTAACTGTGGGGATAAGAGGAATGGGGTGATGGCAACATTCAGACAATAAATAATAGATCATAGTGCTAAAAAGACACAAAGATGAAGGAAGAACTCAAGCCTGCATTCGTCAGGTTGTGGCACTTGCCAGCTGTGCTGTTAACTCAGATTGCACACGTGTAAAACTAACTTTCATTCTATTCTCTGTTAGTACGACTTGCTTTGCCATTTCCTGAGCAGTGCATTTGAGCAACATGCGGGGCACACAAGACTAACTTCACCATGTTCATGGTTTGTTTGGTTCATTGTTTGTAAACATTGCTTCTGATAGTAGTCTTACGAGTATTTGTGTTTAAAAAGCTGTGCACTGATGGATGCCACTCATGTCTTTCATTTTTATTGCAGGGTGGCGGCACCGGTGGCAGCGTCCGTGAAGCTGGCGGTGCCTTTGGCAAGATGGAGGCGGCTAGGGAGGAAGAGTACTTCCGCAAGCTGGTGAGTTCGAGTGACTCTAACAAAGAGCTTTTGCATGCACCTTGCACTCTTCATTCACATGCTCAAGTAGTGAAGGGCACAAGATAAGGAAAACTGTGCAGGAACCACTGGAGGAAATGGCTTCTTAGCAGAATAAATACCACTGGGGTTTCACGTTCCAAAAGTTCAATATAGTTATGAGGCTCCAGATAATTTTCACCTCCTGGGGTCCCTTATCATGCTCCTAATCTAAGCAATGGGGGCCTCATTTTGCCTAGATCAAAATGCAATTGTTGTGGCAGAGATCAAATCTGTGACGTTAGGGTCAGCAGCTGAGCACTCTAACAACTATACCACCTTGGTGGCTTTGGTACAACTGCTCATGGCATTTGTGTTGGTCAGCTCTGTTTGGGAGTGCTCTGAGGCATGTGAGTTTGGTGGTTTTGCACAACTTCCACAACACACACACTGACGCCATAGTCAACCAGGCTAGCGAATATTTTTGATTACACTATCTCCGAATTCGTCCTTGCTTACCTGGCGAGACTAACACCTCTGCTAGGAAGATTCCTATTCTATCCTCCAAAAAGCTACTGCCCTTACCTTCCATTTTTTTCACATCCTCTGGATTTGTTAACTCTTTCGCTACCGCGCCTATTCAAATCGTTCAATTTGAACGATGCATTTCAAGTTAGAATTCTTGCGCCGCCATGCAGTTTACGGGTGCCTAACGCCATTTAGATTAGAAAGTGGGAAACACACTAAGGATCTGCGATGTTGCTTGTTTTTTGCTACGGAGAAGTTTTCTCCCGCCGCGATAAGTTTCGGGTTGCGGCGCGCGTGCATCGATCATGGCGTCATCATCGCGCATAGACGCTCCCAAAAGACGACGCGTTTCTCGCGAATCCAGCGCATCAACAGTCGACTTTGAGGATGCAATCAGCAGCAGTGAGTCTGGAGAAGATGTTGACTCATCAGATTTTAGCACCGATGACGAGGATGCGTCAAGTCAATCCGCAACGTCCGACAGGTGAGTGTGCTGTATGCGAGGCGCACACTTAGTTGACTAATCAGTGGTTATGAGTGGCGGAGCGTGTACTCACAGCAATTTTACTCATTTTCAGGGTCTCAACGTTCCACGGACATGATTCCTTGCCGGCATCTGTCAAGCGTGCACAGTTTCTGCCGAGACGAAACCCAGGGGTCAAAGTCGGCGACGCGCTCCGGAGTGACGCACGGCGCTTCGTCCGGGTCGTCGATTTCTTCCAGTTGTTTTTCACCACGCAGGCGATAAGCATGATATGCGACTTCACAAACAAATATGCGTGGATGCATATTTTAGAGAGAGGCAGACGTACCCGGAAAGAGACGGTTCGTGGAGGAACTTCAGTCCCGATAAAGTCATGAAGTGTATTGGAATGCTCATTTACATGGGAATTGTTGAGTTGCCTCGCCTTCATCTGTATTGAACACCTCAGAATTATTTTCTGGCCTCATTCCTCTGAAGATTATGCCGAGGAGCCGTTTCTTTGCGTTCCTTGCCTTTCTCAGTGTCATGGACCCAGAGCAGACAGACCCCCTCTACGATGGCAAGCTGCACAGGATAGCAAACCTACTGCAGCACATCAATGACGTCTCTTCGCAGCTTTTTCAGCCGTACCGCAACATGTGTGTGGCCGAGAGAATGGTGAAGTCTAAAGGAAGATCGGGAATCCGTCAGTATATGAGGGACAAGGGGGTCAAATGGGGGTACAAACTCTGGGTCCTCGCAGACTCAAGGACAGGCTACACTGTCCAATTCGGTGTTTACATTGGGAAGAGAGAGGCACCCAGCTCAAAGGTACTCGCCTATGACGTTGTAACGCGCCTCTGCGAGTCTTACTTAGATAAAGGATATGTCATCTACCTCGATAACTTTTACACATCCACGTCTCTGTTTGTACACCTACTTTAGCGGAAAAATTAGGTCATGCGGAACGACACGCAAAGATCGCCGCGGATTCCCCTCCCAGCTGAAAGGCACTACATGGGAGAAAAGAACAGCTCGAGGAGACGTTCGCTGGATGCGATGCAGCGACGTGCTGTACTTGCAGGGGAAAGACAAGCGTGCTGTAAACTTGATGAGCACAGCACACACAGCAAACAAACACGTCATTGCAACGCAAAAAGTGAAGAGGGCAGGCAGATGAACCAAGATTCCCGTCAGGAAGCCGCTCTTCATAGAAGAGTACAACAAAGGCATGCTTGGTGTTGACAAGTCGGATCAACTCATTGCTTCCTACAACGTGTTGATGAACTCGTGAGAGGGTGGAAGACGCTGTTCTTTCACTACATCGACATTGTCATCGTGAATAGTTTTATTCTTTTTAAGACACACCTTAGGGATCACCCTGAAATAGATGAGCTATCGAGAAAGACTGGCTTTGACCAGCTCGCATTTAGAATTGAGCTGATCAACCAGATTCTGGGCACAGACGAAAGATATGTTCCCCCTCCTCCACCTTCAAAAAAGTTGGAACACAAGCCCCAGGTGCAACAAAAAGGCCGAAATTGCAAGCTCTGCTACGACAAACGAAAAACACAGATGAAAATAGCAGTTTTGTGTCAGCCATGCGGGGTCTATCTTTGTTTCATCCCGACAAGGGACTGCTTTCGAGAGTGGCACGAGACGTGCCCTCACTAACCCTCACTTTTTTGTGGGAAGAACAGTTTTTCGCAATAATTTTTGAAACTTGTACAACCTTTTTGCATATAAGAAGCTACAAATTGTATATCTTCAATTTTTTAACCTCATTATTTTTTAGGTTATCCTCCTTTTTAAAGTGTTAAATGTATAAACACTGTATAAACTTTCCTATATAAAATTTTTTTTCTTATTATGTGTAATAAATATATGTACAACAATTATGTTATTGAACAGAGCATTCTTTTAGCTACATTTTGGTACCAAACAATGTAAATAAGGCGTTAGTATCTAGCCGTAAAAAATTATTTTTCACACCTAGTAAAAACGGCCCCTTTTCCCGCGGTAGCGAAAGAGTTAACAACCCTTGTGGTGGTCACTTGCAACACACGTGTGCACACAACCGCCCCAATACCGCATGATCTAAACCCCCATTGGTGGTGGCTAGTAGCTTGCACCATCCCTTTATAACTGACCTCAGTTCAAGGTGCAATGGCTAAAATGGGATTAGGAAGTGTTGCCACGAGCATTGTTCTAGGGGATGTTTTGGCCAGACAGTTGTGCAGAATGTACGCATATGAGTGAGAGAAGCCAACAAAAGCTTTACTTTCAAAGCCGTATTTCAGTCGAAGGTTCAGAATTGCCCCCACAGTTTCAGTAACAGTCTGACCTGCAGGTTTGCACTGAAGCCATTGTGGCCGCCTTGGAGTACCAGCACATGGAGAAATATAAGAACAAAAGTCAGCACAGCGGACATGTGTTTTGCTGAGCAACAAGTGAATTTATATAGAATACAAAACTACCACTGCTCTAACTGATGTTTCATTCAAGGGGGGACGTAGCAATGGAAATTGTACATTTGGTCAAAATGTTCAGCTTTCAATATTTTTTTTTTTTTCTGTAATGCTGAGACCATGTTTTACATCATAGTGTGATTTTAGACCAAAATATGTAGTAGAAGTTGAGAAACAAACATTTTACGGGTGTGCTGTCATCAAAAGCTATGAAAAAATTGGGCTTAGCAAAATGCAAATATAAAGCTTTCCCTTGGCACAGTGCCACCATATTGGCATCATGATAAAAAGGACAGATTGGAGCTCAAGATAGCCACAAAGACTCATTTCTCCAATGAAAAATAGTCAGCTTTCTTCAGAGTTTCATTTTATCAGATTCTAGCTCCAATTTCTTCGAGCTCCATTTTCTCAGCTTTCATTTTTGGCGCTGTTGCTGCCAGTCATCCATGTGCCATATCACAATAAATTAAGCTATAGCCATTCCGTTTTTTGCACTTAGAATCTGAGGCGTTGATGAGTGCCATAAAGCTGTCCATATTTGTGTGTGCATCATACGAACTTTTGTAATTGGCTTTCTGTAAAAGTTGTTGGTAAGAAATTATGTGCCGGACATTTCAAAAAAAATTTTGTGTGCTTACTTATTAAATATCAACCAATAGCATTATGGCACAAAATGAACCCTCGTGAATATGCTTATGCAAAAATTTTGATGAACTTGTGTATAGTTAGCTAATGCATTTTCGGAATGACAATAAGATTATATCGAGTGTTGCAACTCAAAAGTTAGATAGCTCAAAACCGATTTCAGTTATGATATCAGCACAACATATGACACCTGCAAGCCAAATTTCATTCCTTGGGCTTCATAAATAGCAAAGATAATTTTCAATGCCACATCCCCCTTAAAAGAGCAAGTATGCATTTGTTACATAATAATGTTAGCAAGGAACATGTTGGATTTACTCTTGTATTGGATCTACTTGTCATGCAAATAATGTCTCCAAGTTAAAGAAGGAAGTTTAGCATAACATTTCAGAGCCACCTCTATCCTCCTTGAGAATACAAATAGTGAATAGCACATGTTTCCCAATTGAAGGCATTTACAAGATGCCACAGGTATAAAGAAAACTAAAAACCGCATTTGAGTAATAAATTGAAGAAATAGAAGGGCTACAAAGATGCTGTAGTATAGAGGTGGATACATTTTCAACCACATCGGTTCAAGTGCACTACTTGAAATCATTCTACTATATAAGGGGTTGATGCACAACATTGGCGATATGCAAGAACAGTGGATTTAAGCACACGTTAGGGCTTCGGACACTTGGAACAGTTTCACATAAAGGGAAAATGACAGCCAGAACCTAAATAGCATAGTGAATAATTTGTAAATCTCTTTCTATGAACTAACTAAAACGTTTTTCTGGCATGCGAGAAAACTACTGTAGGCTAGGATGCAAGTTTTCAAGTTTAAATTGTAATTTTGAAGCATCAAAACCTATTGGGGAATATATGATGTATTGGTGTTTGAAAAACATTCAATTGGGCCTTGCACTGAGACATTCCTCATGATACATTTTTGGTTTCAGAGCATTAAAATTAGAAATTTTTAATTACAGGTTGCCATAGCAACAATGTGTAGTCTGAAACAAATTAAGAGTTTAAGGGTTCACTATGCATTGCACATCTAAAAAGCTCACCAAGAGATCTTTAATTTTCTGTAGGTGCGTTTATCACAAAAAAATGTCAGTTTTCTTGAAGACAATACATGTAGTCTGCAGTGCATGCAATCACTGCAGACTACATAATTAATTAATCACCATAATAATTAATTAATAACCATAATTAATTTATTCAAGCCCCTCTTTTCATAGAAATCATCAGAGCCGGAAAAAGCTCTTAAAAGTCAAAGCGAAAATATAAATAACTTAGCAGAAAAAATTATCAAATTGATGAGGTTGTTACTAAAGGTAGAAACTATGGTTGTCTGACTAAGCATCCACTTACTATCACATTTTTTTGCAAGTTTTTTTTTTTTTTTGTCACTACTTGGCACATTAAAAGTGAAACGTTGTCATTAATACAGCAGACAAATAAAATAAAGGAAAAATACTGCAGTGAGATCTCAATACAACAAATCTAAGGAAACACATTAGAAATGATTCCTTATTTTGAAAAGTCATTGTTGTGAAAAAATAAAAAAGTCATGCAAGAAAAGTAAATTCAACCACATGAGCCACCTACCTTTGTTGGGCATACTTCCGCGATCGCATTAATTTCTTATAAGCAGTAAAAGAACACAAAATAATCTGGAACAAAAACATGTTTATTTAATCGAGAGAGTGGTATTTGCTTAGGTGTTGCAGCTCGACTGTTGCTGGACGAACCCCTCAGAGTGCGCATTCTTCTTATGCACTTCTTCGACGCTAGATATCAATTCTTCACATTGGTTTGCACGCCCTTGTTTCAAAATTGTCTTCGCTCTCATCGTCCTCATGGCCGTTTTCTTGTCACAACAGATGGTATGGATCTTATCGGTCCTTAGCTCAGCCGACGTGCATACTTTGTTGTTGAATTGTACGTAATGTAGAAATGTTTGTGATGCATGTACAGGTAATCCTCACAACTTAATCCCAATCGTCACTCGCGTAGCACTTTTCGCCTTTGCCGTATTTCTTTCATGATGCTTTTGGGGCTCATTGTGAACGTACAATCACTAGGTTAAATGTGAGAAAAGAAGCGTGCATCCAGAGCTGCCGGAGGAAGCGTAGGCAATGAGGTGAAGTGTGATGGGGAAAACAAGTACAAGTAATGGGGTAGGTGTTAGGGCTGTTGCACATTTGAAGAGTATAGGAACATAGAGAAATGTGCAGGCATTTCAGTGATGCTAATAGTGGCACCGATGATGCTGGGCTAGGCGTTGCTTTCACTGCTGCGAGTAGCCTTTCGTTTCTTATTATTTTGAAAGAGATACAAGGCCAATGGAATTTGATATGTTATTCTGAAACATTTGATATACTAAAATTCGTAATAGTGAATTATTTTTGCATTAAACCAATGGACATTTGGACAGCAATTTTTAGGAACAGCCATTAATGTGAAAAAAAATGATTAACTTTAGGTTCGCTACAACAAGATTTGACTGTAGCAGTTCATACTTCAACATGAGCTGTGCTCCACGAATTGTTAGTACAGTCGGAACACCTTTATAAATGATACTGACGTCGCAGACAATTAAGTATAAAAGGCGCTGTTGTGCCTACATTGAAATAGGGGTTGATAAAAAAATGAAACCATGGTACCCTGCTTATAAGAGACACCTCACATAAAAGATGAGAACTGCTGCCCGGTGCATGTCTCTTATAGAGACTCAACTGGATCATAACAAACTGTCCTTGTTTTCCACCGGGCCTGCGTTCCACGTTTTCACAGGCTCCAATACAACACCAGCTCTGTCAGTAAGGACATGAACTTGCAGTTCGGGACATGTTGAATTTTTTTCTGATCAAGAAGTCTCGTGGGAAAGGCACTTGCGGGAAGTGCAGGAGCTATACACATGGGCAAATGCTCTGAGTTTCCATACAATGTGGAAATGTGAATTAAATTGCGAGTAAAATGTATGCTTGATCAGGGTTCTTCCTGGGATATGTTAAAGAATGAAGTGTCTGGTACTGGTTACGATGTATTTACTTCGTACATATTGAAATTAATTTAGCCTCAGAGTTTATCTATGCAGTGTGTTCGAACCAAGTTCATGACCATTTGTTTGCAGCGTTACCGTGTGTTCCGCCACTGTTCAGGCACTGATGTATGCCTGTTTCATACTTTTCTCCTGCAGCAAGCTCAGCAAATTGAGGTGCTCAAGGGGCACATTGAAGATGAAATCAAGCAACACGAGAAACTTATCAAGCAGCACCAGGATGAGATAGAGAGGCACAAGAAGAAGATTCGGGACCTCAAGGAACACTGAGCTGGGGATTTCGGGCTCGGGCCCCTCACTTATTCCGTTTTTTGTTATTTTTTCCCCAGTTACCTGCTGTACGAGAGGAACAAGGAGCAACCTCTTTGAGCTGTGTTTTTGTAGCTAGGGCAGAGTAAAAAAGTTGCAAGATTGCATCAGTGGTCTCTTGCTTTAAATTGTACTTTCACTTTTGTGGCTGAGGCATCCAACTGCCTACCTCATTCTGGAAGTTGTGTCAATACATTACAGTGAAAGCTGTTATGAAATTACAACTCGGGTCACACACGGCATCGTTGTTGTCTCCGGCCGCCGGTGTCCGTAACTACTATTGCGCAAAATAAGAAAAAAAAAAAATACTAGTGCCAAGGACACAGTGGTGCTCGAACCCAGGTTCGCTGCGTGCCAGCCCAGTATTCTACCACTGAGCGACACCAGTGCTTGGGACCTGTTCGCAAACTTGCCCTAGGCAGGCTTGATGTCTGGAAAGGAATCTCGTTAATATAAGTAATAAAGCATTTTAGGACAGCAAAAGAACAACCAGGAATCACACATTGCGAATAACGCAGCGTGTGGGTCATAAAATGCTCCAAGCCATTACGAAAGCTTGTTCTTGATCTCCTATTAACTGTGGCGCATACCCACTTCAGGCATAATTCCTTATTGTCAATCTTCCTTACACATGTTTAGCGGATACCTTGCTTCTCAGAAGAATGACGAAAAATAGCATAGCAAATGCCAGACTGCTACCCAGAAATTATTATTAATGCTGTAGTGAAGTGTGCTTGCAGCAGTTACGAAATGAGTGTTTAGAAAAAGGCTCTGAAATGCCACTCTTCTAGCTTTTGCTGTACCTGTGTTGCGCCTTCCGCGCAGGACTGGCGTTTTTTTGAATATCAAATCAGGTACTGTGCTGTGCGATTTGAAATCTGAAATAAATAGTTACTATTCATTAATACTAGCTTATCAGGTAATTTAAGCACATTTCAGATTGCCTGCTGTGCTAAAATAAACACTTATAATGATGCTCGAGTGATTAATACTGCCCCTGCCATCATAAGCATATGTACTGTAGGCATATAAACATCAGGGCTTTTTAGGTTCAGCTCTATTGTGTGCTTATATTTATGCACACATTAACTCTTTTGTTACCGCATCTATGTAAATCGATCAGTGGTGATCAACACTCTGGATCATCAATTTTGACATGTGTAATTTGTTTCTCGTACAACCAGCACTTTCTAGTAGTTAGTACAGCCACTGAACTTTCAAAATCAATTTGAATTGGCTCGTTCTGGCAACATGTTGATTTTCGACAAACTTTTGCGTGCGTGTGGTTCTGGGAAATGCGCTTGGCTGGTGAACTTGACAGGAGTGCGTGCCCCTCGTGGTTATGCTACAGTACCATCTAAGTTCTGCAATAAAAAAATTTTGCAAGCGAAATATCAGGTTAAGGTGTTCGCTTCTGAATTTGACGGTGTGGAGCAGTAGTAATTGTCAGTACTTTATGCCAGCTATTCAATAGAGAGTAGTTGCACGGAGACAGGGAAAACTCATTCCACTAAAATATATTCCCCAAAGTCCATCATATGTATTAAGTATAGAGGTGGCCTTCTCAGCCAGTTTCTAAAAGCTTTGGTGTTGCTTGTATAGTTATATCAGACACAGGGCCGCATCTAATGTCACTATAATTGCTCCTATGGCGGCGGCGCCACGCGAACATGGGTGCGCACCTGTGGTTTAAAAAACACATGCTGCTCGAAACTCTTGCAACCATACTTGAATTGAGCGAGGAAGAGCTTAGAGCCCGAGTATCACAACACCTCAGCTTCAAGCTCTCACGATGATGATATAATGTATCAGCCTGAGACATTCGCAGCTGTTCAGCTGTTGGTTTTGTGGACGGGCTTGAGTGGTCTCCCACCATAAGTGCGTAGCTGCTGACCTTTGTGCACAATCGTATAGCTATTACGTGCAAGGTGCACACGTTGCTGAGGTGTGGTGTGCTGGCACCGGCTGGAGAGCTGCTCATCAGGACAAGAAGCCCACGGGAGCACATCCTAGCTCTGACTACAAAGCAGCGACTGCGTGCGATATTCTTCATTTCTTTTATACAATGTGCAAATGTGCGAAGAAGTTTGCTTTAATGCGTACATTGAAATGCCAACCTATAAGGAGTGAGGTGACTCATGGAAAAAGGTGACACTAGACGAAAAGACGAAGTTCATTGAACACCTGATATATAGAGGTGACATCCACAACATGGGCAAAAAAAATTATCGCTAAAAAAATAAGAAAAATGCTGAGAAAAGTCTGCGAGTTCACTTGTGTTTCACGAAAACAAAAAAAAGCAATGTTTCACCGCATAGCATGAGCAAAGAAGCAACGCCTTGAATTTTTGCGTATATAGTGTTTTTTACAGCACTGTTTACCAGCTGGCAATAAAAAATTGCACACTTTTCACATTTTTATTCATTCGAATTTTTTTTTGTTGGTCTACAAATTATATTTTTTGAAAAGAGCATTTCTGCAGAATTTGGTTTGCTACAATGTGTGCTGGAGTACTTTTCAAATTACTAAAAACTATTTTTCCACAATGTATAAAAAAAACCATTTTCGCGTGGGAGTAATAGAATTACAGAACACGTAGTGACCAGTTAAATTCCCCCACTATGGCACGCCTCGTAATCATAGTTTTGGCACAGAAAGCACTGTGAATAACTTATGTGGGCAGTGGACTGCGTTGATTTGTAGGTTAGACTTTACTGGCTATGAAATCTGTCTTCCACGTGCACTGATGAGGTTCGTGGTGCGAAGAACCTGCTCATTTTTACTTAGGTACCGTTTGGGTTCTGAATGCTAAAATGATTGACGTAAACATTTTGTATTGTGAAATTGATTTTCTTTAATAGTTGACTTCACGAAAAATTAAATTGAATAGTGAGAAGGCTGGATGATGGATGGGGCATTACTGGCTACTATTTCGAAATGAGGAAAAAGTTGCTGATATAGCATATGTAATACATGGTAATGCTTCTGGGCTTGCTTGTTTTGCTTTGCTGCATTGTTTGTAGAGATGAACTTCTAGTTTTACTAGGAAGACTGAAGCTGTGCTTATCATATTCGAGACACATTTGTTCTGGAAAGCTGTTACTCTATAATTCAAAATACCATTATAAAGTTTGAAATATTCTATGCAGCATTCGTATTTAAATGTCTTACTCTAGAAGGACCAATTCTGAACTATTCATATTAAAGCAAGACCGTCAATGGTACTTCTGAAGAGGGCTAATATGACATAAGCGACGTTTTGAAGTCTAAACTGCATTCAGTGGAACTCTTCACGAGAGAATTTGCAGGAAAGCAGAGAGGTCGGTCTGAGCTATATTTTGCTATGGCCTGTCAAAGGGGGACATATGAGCAAACGAGTAAGGATTGATGATAAGAGCAAATCCAAGAACGTGCGTCCAGATGAGTGGCTTGTAGGAAAGCCATGCGCCGCCGTGGTGGTCTAGCGGCTAAGGTACTCAGCTGCTGACCCGCATGTTGCGGGATCGAATCCCGGCTGCGGCGGTTGCATTTTCGATGGAGGCGAAAATGCTGTAGGCCCGTGTGCTGAGATTTGTGTGCACGTTAAAGAACCCCAGGTAGTCGAAATTTCCGGAGTCCTCCACTGCGGCGTATTTCATAATAATATGGTGGTTTTGGGACGTTAAATCGCACATATCAATCAATCATCAGCCCTTTGTATCGGGCGGGCACATCTAATCTGCCCTAGCGAAGTAAACGACATGACTGGGAAAGAAACACTCAGCAGACGCACACAGATCGTACAACATTCGTAAGTGGCGCATATGCCCTCTTAGTTCCACCACGTAGATGGATGGATGGATGGATGGAAACTCCCACCGCTGCGTCGCGCGCCACCATTGCACTAGCCTTGTTTTGGTGGTGTGGGCTGCTGCATAGTAACCACACGAACTGATTCACTGCCTGCATGTAGTTGCACTGAAGATGTAGAAATAGCTCAATCCTAGAGGTACTGCATTTTCAGAGAAGTAGGATTGTCCGTAAGATGACTTCACCATAGATGTATTGTATATGCAGTGAAGCAAGATTGCCAGTGAGATGGTGACATAGAGCGGATTTGAGTAATGTAGATAGAACGCGTTTGTTCTCATGTAATCTCCCGCTAATCTTGCCATTATAGTTGTTTGTCAATTTTTTGTTGTGTGTGAATGTTGGTTGATTCTGCAGAAATATCGCTCACAGTGATTACATGAAATCTATGAAATGCATATAGCAAGTGACACCTTCCTTTAACAAAAATGAAAAAAAAAAAAAGATTATTTAGTGAAACAAGTTTTCCTCTGCATACTTCGACAATTTTTTTTTTTTACAGTAGCTGGCCTTAACACATAGAGATTCACCATGTTCTCCGGTGTAAGCCGCGCTATTGATTCTAATAGCTATTCAGTGGCGGTCGCTTTGAGCAGTAACGACGCCTTTACGAGCGGCGTTTGTAAAGCGTCAAATAAGCCGACGTCGGTGCCTTTATTCCGTTGCTGCATAAGCGAACTCGTTGTGGTATTCGCTGCAGAGCCAACAAGAATACATGTATAATTTTTCGAACTACACAAAAGCGCTATAACAACCGCCGCTGCCGTCGGGCGCCACACTATGATATCGGCGATGAGGTGCGGGGCTACGAGGTATTGCGTCAACTTCGGAGGAACTATGCATGAAGTTCAAAGGGCCTTTGGTTATTACCGAATGGCTGGACGGGAACACTTGCTGTGTGCCCTCCTCAGGCGCCGACCCGCGCGCTGACGAGAGGTGGAACAATTTTGCTGTTCATGTGTCGCATACACGGAGGTCGTGTATTGAGTGTGCAGCACTTTAGGAACTCGAACTTTCATGTGCTGTCGTTGTCTCATGTAGCGTGGCGTAACGCTGGCAAACCCACGGATAGCATAGCCAGCTGTAGAATAGTGAGCATGCTCGCTCGTGCCAAAGAGAAGTCTCCTTCCTCTTGTTCTTCGAGCGCCTTTATGATAATATCAAGTGTGGAGCACTTCGGGGGTGCAGGCGGACGTGTTCTATCGTATGCTGTCGCCGCTTGGTTTAACGCAGGCAAAACCACGTGTCAAAATAGAGA